GTTCACAGTCTCTAAATTTGACCTTCACCTCCGGCAAGATTTGCATCCTGGTAATTCTTTTTTTATTTATCCCTCCAGAAACTTATATGTCTGATTCAACCTTCCTTCCTTGAAGTACCAGTAGGCGTAACTGTTTATTCGGACTTATGTATAAGTGAAATGATATATTTATTCCTTTTCTGTGAAGTAAATGTCGATAAATTCTCGGTACTACTATTAAATTTTGCATTTTTCTGATTACCTGTAATTTAAACAATATATATCTATTGCTATGGTCGAAATAACGTAAATTGAATTAATGATGTGCATTAACGTAAACTTTTCAGGTAAGTCAACAATAGCTGTCAGGAAATTGAAACCGAAGCGGTGACACAGTGTCACATCGTCTGCGTGGAACAACCGCACTAGTTTGAGCATAATTCAGGAAGAATATAAATGATTAAACTCAATAAATAAATAACCTATGTAGGAATGTGCAATATAAGTCTTTATTATCAGGTTATTGTACATCAGAATCAAGTCAAGCACATGTAACTATCAATAGCTAGAAGAAAATAATTCTATATATAGTAATAGACACCTCAACAAAGTTGTGGTACATTAAACACTGATGTTAAAACTGATGCAAGCTATCAGTAATTAATGTAATGTTCACTCAAATGACGTCACTTATCGCCAATTAATCAGTAAAGTCTTAGATGAATATATAATAATATATATAGTAATAGACACCTCAACAAAGTTGTGGTACATTAAACACTGATGTTAAAACTGATGCAAGCTATCAGTAATTAATGTAATGTTCACTCAAATGACGTCACTTATCGCCAATTAATCAGTAAAGTCTTAGATGAATATATAATAATATTCAAGTTTTTATGAACATCTTGCCCATTCACTTTCTGTGACATTTTAACCTTTCACTCATTCTCTCTCTCCGTGCATAATACAAATAAGAATTTTATAAAGAAATACGCATTTTGAAATTGCATCTCTTACTCTGTCTGTCTTGCTGGCTGACATATTGTCTGAGTGTTTGTCTGTCTGCCCCTCTCCCCCCCATCTTTCTTTGAAAAACAACAATGCTTTTCAATATTGACAAAATCGTTTGGTATAGGTATATATACATAAAAAACGTTCAAAAGATTAAGTGACATGTTTTGCACTTTTAACCACGCCTACAACAAGCAAAACAACAGAGTTTCATTTGAATGTACAATGCCGACAGCTCCTGTCGGAATTTTTTATCCATAAAACCATACACGAGTGGATTAATAGCATTGTTAAGGAAAATCATCCAAGTAATAAAGTAGGGTAGGGGCCCATAGTTAGCTATAAAGTTTTGATAGAGACGTTGGTTGACATTCCGAATCACGGCTGTTAACAGGTAAGGGAGGTAAACACCAAAGGAGATCATTGACACGACTAGAAATACCTTGATAGTGTTTCTACTTTTGTCAAGCTTCTTTCTCTTTCTCTCATTCATTGTGTTAGGTATTGAAGAGACTGCAGTATCTCTTGCCGTGTCCTTTAAACTCGTTGTTTGTGGAGAAATAGCCATATTGTTTTTCTGATGAATGTAGATCCTTCTACCAATCAAAATGTACGACACAATTGAAATTGTTAAGTTGATGAGAAAGGATAGTAGCAGAAACCCTCCATATACGTGTACAAACGTTGAATTCCTCAGATGATTCGACACAGCACATCTATAACTGGGCAGTGAATGAACCTTTGTTGTCTCCTGGTTAATACCAAACATGAAGAATGAGGGGATGAAAAATAAGGTGATCATGGCAACGAGGATTAATCCACAGAAAACGCGAGTTGTTCGCTGGCTAAAATGGGTAGGAGTCTTTTGACATATTTTCCTATAACGTTCCACAGCTATGCCATTCAAAAGTACCAACGATAAAGTTCCTACAAGGTTCATGGTTGCGAAGTACAACTTACAGAAAACAGAAGACTGAACCGAGTAGATGTTTCTGATAATATACAGTGAGGCTGGAATGCAGAACGTACACCCTACAAAATCCACTGCAGTCAAACACAGTACCAACTTTTTGTACATATTTGCTTTGTATCTGAGCAAATAAACCAAAAACACGTGAACATTTCCAATCGTACCAAAGATACATGAGAGTATCAGAAAAGCGGTGATAGGAATCCCGGATCTCACGAATTCATCATAATCCTCCTGTTCTAAAGTATACGACGTATTCATCGACGTATTCATCTTACTTTGACAACTGAACAGTTATGTATCTACAGTAGAAATGAAACAGTTTGTGAGTATTCCTTGCTTCACAATTGAATCATATCAAACAAGTGGATGACAAATGACGCAAAATCTGAAAATGAAAATGTTCTAGTTGTCATCTGCTATACCAATAACAGTAGTAATACGTCTTGATAGGTATCCACTCCTACACATTGTTTCTACGAAATTCACCGCTTAATCAGGAAGGCATTTGTGTGTATCATTACAAAACAAGGAAATGATAGCCCGGACCGGTTTTTATGTAGCCAGATTGCAAAATCGGGGCCATATTGTATTTGTAATATCTGTTTGCTTGTTATCACCATTAACCCTGCCCATAACTATTACACCGTAGAGATTACATATTTGGCATGTATCTTCCTTGTAACAAGACATTTCCCGTGGTACCTAAGGCCTTGACTTTGATCTTTGACCGACCTTTCAAAGATAAAAAACATAATATCCACAATGAAGACATAAGTGTTTCACAAAATGTGCAGACAATTAGCACATGCCTTATACAGTTCAATACATGGTTCAATGGTTTGTCAGTAAGATATACTGTCCCTACGGACGTGGGATTGAATGGTTACATTGAATCACGTGATGTTGACTGTCGTATATCAGTAACAATCGAGTCATAAAGATCTTGAGAGAAAAGTACATTAGTTTAACCTTTGACTTTAGGTTATTCCACTATTGCACCATGTGTGGGTCAAACTAAACTTTAAACTTATAGGAAATTTGCATTTTATAAATAACATCAATGTTAAGAACTTCCTGACTTCCTTGCAAAAGAATCATGATCAGAAAAGTGTTGCGAATCGAAACACAGACCAAATGTCTAAATCCAAACACTGGCCTTAGGTTAACATAGTAATAGTAACACATTATATAAAAATCTCCATTTGGTAGGCTGAGAGATAAGATCAACAGAAACATAGTTTCTTTTTCTTCGGTTTTTCAACTTTATTCAATCAAAAACATTGAAATGATTTATCACATTGTCAAGAACGGAAGTTTTACAGTGAATATCGGTTTCGTTGAAAGAGTACAGACATACATATATTCTCGTTTTCCGCTCGGCAATTGATCACGTGACAATAATAAAGTGTTCAATTTCCGTCGTAAATCAAACATCTTTTTCTAAAATTCGAAAGCATTGTATTACGGATTTTTAAAAAGGTCGACTGAATATTAAAGAGAAACAGTGGACATAGACACGAAACTCTTTACGTTTGTACATCAAAAAAGAAAGAATTAATTTTTTTGGCGTGAATGATCACCGGACGACGGTATAAAAACAGGGTTGTGTTTTGTATCTTAGTTGAAGTTTGGCATTCACAGCGAATGAAAAACTCTCACAGATAATTGCACTAGTGACTAGCAAAAGTAAGGCAGAATATTTGCTAAAAAGCAGAATTCCTTTCAGATTCAAAATGACTTTATTTGACGGAAGATATCCGTGATTTTAAAATTTTAATTACACTGAAACAGATTACAAAACCTGTTAACCCGTCTGAATTTAGATCTATGTTACATTTACAGAAATGTAAAACCAACAGCTATAATCGAAAAAAACAATTCTCGGTGAGATTATCTGTACACAGAACATTGAACTAGAACGCTGTATATATTAATATATGAGTGTCTCATTATTGAGGTCGAGAAACATTTCGTGGTTTCTCTCGGTATTTCCTGGTCATTTCCGCGAATCACGGAAAGGGAAAGTTATTTGGTTTACATTAGCCTTAGTTGTTGTATTGAATTCCTCTTAAAATAATACATTTTCTCATTTCGTTTAACACAAATAAATTCTCGATACCATTTTTAGACATGGTATTCGGCATATTGATTATATATATAGCAAATGACATAACTTATCTGCATTTAGATCTGTAGCAAAATTTTAAAAATATTGATGTCAGATGGTATCAATAGTCAATACCCTCAATTCTCCACAAGATTTAAATAAATCAACATTTCAGTTATTCTGTACTAAAAAATGTTTATTGGTTTGTAAATGCGAAGTGGCTGAATAACTTCTGGCATTAAAATGAAACTTGTTTTTGCTGGGTAAAAATATTTTCATAGAACGTGTAGAAAATGTAAATTTTAAAAACTATTTTTCATTGTTCATCCGGATTTGGTACAAGTTACTACCAATAAGTAATGCACAACAATTCTATCTTTAGTAATGTACATAAACATTCTGTACACTTTAAAGTCTGATGTTAAAGCTGATGCCAAACCGGTATCATTGTTTCAGTTCAATGGAAGCAACTTAATGTAACGGTATTCAAGCAAATCAATTATAACTCATCATCAAGGATTATTATTTAACTTATATATGTAAGCATATACATTGTTGTCTCCATCTAGTATATATTGGATGTTAAATGATTTTGTGAAACTAGTTTTTGATTTTTTGATTTTGCTTTTTTCGAGCTTTGATAAGCAGGAACTAAAACTAGACACGTTAAATAATAACAAATTAATTAATGAAAAGAGCAAAACGAGGGAGATAGAATGGAATTAAACACGACACGGGTAGCCATACTGTTGCGCCATTTAAAATGATGACGTATTAGCTTTGTCCATGACTTATCTGACTGACCCCGCCAGTAATAAAGCGTTATAGTCCACAAGTGATATACATATATATCACTGAATGAAAAGTTAAGTATATTGTATATTCATTAGTATGTCAAAGCAAAACTCAAACACACATTATGCACTATCAGCCATGCCTCCAAGAAACTAAACAGCGTTTCATTTGAATGTAAAATGCCGATAGTTCCTGTCGAAATTTTCTATCCATAAAACCGTATACAATTGGATTAATAGCATTGTTAAGGAAAATCATCCAAATTATAAAGTAAGACAGAGATCCATTATTATCCACAAAGTTTTGATAGAGACGTGGGTTGATATTCCTAATTACGGTGGTTAAGAGGTAAGGGAGATAAACACCGAACGAGATAACGGACACCACTAAGAAAACTTTAGTAACATTTCTACTTTTGACAAGCTTCTTTCTTTTCCTTTCATGCATTGATTTTAGAAATGCCTTTTCTTTTTCAGTTGACTGTCCGACTTTGTCACTTTTACTCGCCACCGAGTTATCTCGCTTCATGTCTGGGTCACGTGCAGCTGTGGACATAACGTAGCTGTCTGTAAATTTCTGAGTCTGGACTGGAATGTACTGGTGTGATTGAGATTGTGGTATCACTATATACGACATCCGGCTGCGACGTTAGGTGTTTTGTTCTTTGAGGGATACGTGTAGTGATATTGTTTTTCTGATGAATATATATCCTTCTACCAATCAAAATGTACGACACAATTGAAATTGTGATGCTGGTGACAAACGTTAATAACATAAATCCTCCGTAGACCCGTACAAACATTGATTTCTTCAGCTGATTCAACACTGAACATTTATAACCGGGCAATGAATGAGTCTTTGTTGTCTGCTGATTAACACCAAAAATCATAAATCCCGGGATGATGAAGACTATGAGCATGACGATAAAATTTAATCCACAGAGCACGCGAGTTGTTCGCTGGCTAAATTGGACACGAACTCTCTGACATACTTTCCTATAACGTTCCACAGCTATGAGATTCAAAAAAAGCAAGGAGTACGTTCCTACAATATTCATGGTTGTGAAGTACAACTTACAGAAAACAGAAGACTGCACCGAGTAGATGTTTCTGATAATATACAGTGAGGCTGGAATGCAGAACGTGCATCCTACAAAATCCACTGCAGTCAAACACAGTACCAACTTTTTGTACATATTTGCTTTGTATCTGAGCAAATAAACCAAAAACACGTGAACATTTCCAATCGTCCCCAATATACATGAGAGTATCAGAAAAGCCGTGATGGGAATCCCGGATCTCACGAATTCATCATAATCCTCCTGTTCTAAAGTATACGACGTATTCATCGACGAATTCATCTTATTTTCAAAATTTGAAAATTCAGCGCTGATGCCCTCAAAGCAAAAGTCACACAGTCTATGAACATACGATGTGTTAATGAAGTATATAAAATCACCGATCATAAGTTCAGGAAATTAAAATAATTAGTCATCATCTGGTAATACGATACTTAAACTATCTTCGGTTTCACTTTCAGATATATTGATGACCTCTTGTTTTTGAACAAGAGGTCACGTCAATCCTACATATCCTTAAGATATGAAAATTAAGGAAATGATATCCGCCACTAGACCAGCCTCTTCTCTTGATACTTTCGTTCCTCGGAACCACATGGACTGCTTACCACAAAGCGTGGTGATTTTAACTCCCCTATTGTGAATTTTCAATTTCTGCAACCCCAACTTGTTAAAATGTTTTGTCGATGAGGGCGTTTTACGGTCGCGATAGGTATGTGATTGAGACATATTTTCTCTTTTTCGTTGTTTTATACCTTGTTCTTATTTGAAAACGTAACCTTACTTGATTTGATAAATATTTACATAGCAGATGATGCAGAAAACGCTTACTCTTCCGAAACGCATGAACTAAACCCCCATGTACATTTTCAGGAGTCTACGTGTATATCTGTCTTTTGTTTACATTTTGCCCTAGGTTTATTGAATTTTAGTTTGGTTTGAGAAACAAGTTGGTATTCTTTGATTGTTTTTAAAAGCATCTTTAATTATTACTGTTCTATTTTGTTCTAGCCATTTGGGAGGAAAAGAATTTCATCCGTTGTCATATCTCAATAGATCGGAAGGCTTTTTATATCATTCGAACAAAGAAATACAACAGCCATTGCATTTTTTTCAGGAAGCAAATCATAACATCAATCTACCTATTCATTAACAATATCCTATCATGAGTTTTGAGGTCCGTGTTATTCCAGTTTGTCACAGTATGTTTTAGTAGTCTCTGTATTAGAATTACTTGAACCTCGACGAAAGCACCACGTCGTTTCGTCCTGCAATGACTATTGATGCTAAAGGCCAAACAGGATTCGAAAGTATCAATATTACATGTATATACAAATAAAATGGGATTCAAAGTCCAAAATCCACATCCATAATAGAACCGGTGTACGCCAAATATATCAAATAAAATATATATCTTATTAATATTTCCTTACTGCATTTTACAGAAAATGAAATTAAAAACACTTATGAAATAAAATTCTATATTTGACCTTTATCTTGTTCTGTAATATAACAACCAAGGTACACCTTCTCCGGTTCTAAATCTGACCTTCACCTTGTACTGTTAAATAGCAATCAAGATACTCCTTGTCCAGTTCTATATCTGACCTTCACTTTGCACTGTAATATATTTATCAAGATTCTCGAACACCGGTTCTAAATCTGACCTTTACCTTGTTCTGCAATATAACAATCTAGATTCGCGTACAACGCTTCATGACCTTCACTTTGTTCTCTAATATAACAATCAAGATACTTCTTCTCCGGTTCTATATCTGACCTTCACCTTGTTCTGTTATATAAAAATCAAGATTATTGTACTCCGCTTCTATATCAGATCTTCAACTTGTTCTGTAATATAACAACCAAGGTACACCTCCGGTTTTTTTTTATTTGACCTTCACCTTGTACTGTTAGATAGCAATCAAGATACTCCTTCTCCGGTTCTATATATGACATTCACCTTGTACAGTAAGTTAACAATCAAGATACTCGTTCACAGTCTCTAAATTTGACCTTCACCTCCGGCAAGATTTGCATCCTGGTAATTCTTTTTTTATTTATCCCTCCAGAAACTTATATGTCTGATTCAACCTTCCTTCCTTGAAGTACCAGTAGGCGTAACTGTTTATTCGGACTTATGTATAAGTGAAATGATATATTTATTCCTTTTCTGTGAAGTAAATGTCGATAAATTCTCGGTACTACTATTAAATTTTGCATTTTTCTGATTACCTGTAATTTAAACAATATATATCTATTGCTATGGTCGAAATAACGTAAATTGAATTAATGATGTGCATTAACGTAAACTTTTCAGGTAAGTCAACAATAGCTGTCAGGAAATTGAAACCGAAGCGGTGACACAGTGTCACATCGTCTGCGTGGAACAACCGCACTAGTTTGAGCATAATTCAGGAAGAATATAAATGATTAAACTCAATAAATAAATAACCTATGTAGGAATGTGCAATATAAGTCTTTATTATCAGGTTATTGTACATCAGAATCAAGTCAAGCACATGTAACTATCAATAGCTAGAAGAAAATAATTCTATATATAGTAATAGACACCTCAACAAAGTTGTGGTACATTAAACACTGATGTTAAAACTGATGCAAGCTATCAGTAATTAATGTAATGTTCACTCAAATGACGTCACTTATCGCCAATTAATCAGTAAAGTCTTAGATGAATATATAATAATATATATAGTAATAGACACCTCAACAAAGTTGTGGTACATTAAACACTGATGTTAAAACTGATGCAAGCTATCAGTAATTAATGTAATGTTCACTCAAATGACGTCACTTATCGCCAATTAATCAGTAAAGTCTTAGATGAATATATAATAATATTCAAGTTTTTATGAACATCTTGCCCATTCACTTTCTGTGACATTTTAACCTTTCACTCATTCTCTCTCTCCGTGCATAATACAAATAAGAATTTTATAAAGAAATACGCATTTTGAAATTGCATCTCTTACTCTGTCTGTCTTGCTGGCTGACATATTGTCTGAGTGTTTGTCTGTCTGCCCCTCTCCCCCCATCTTTCTTTGAAAAACAACAATGCTTTTCAATATTGACAAAATCGTTTGGTATAGGTATATATACATAAAAAACGTTCAAAAGATTAAGTGACATGTTTTGCACTTTTAACCACGCCTACAACAAGCAAAACAACAGAGTTTCATTTGAATGTACAATGCCGACAGCTCCTGTCGGAATTTTTTATCCATAAAACCATACACGAGTGGATTAATAGCATTGTTAAGGAAAATCATCCAAGTAATAAAGTAGGGTAGGGGCCCATAGTTAGCTATAAAGTTTTGATAGAGACGTTGGTTGACATTCCGAATCACGGCTGTTAACAGGTAAGGGAGGTAAACACCAAAGGAGATCATTGACACGACTAGAAATACCTTGATAGTGTTTCTACTTTTGTCAAGCTTCTTTCTCTTTCTCTCATTCATTGTGTTAGGTATTGAAGAGACTGCAGTATCTCTTGCCGTGTCCTTTAAACTCGTTGTTTGTGGAGAAATAGCCATATTGTTTTTCTGATGAATGTAGATCCTTCTACCAATCAAAATGTACGACACAATTGAAATTGTTAAGTTGATGAGAAAGGATAGTAGCAGAAACCCTCCATATACGTGTACAAACGTTGAATTCCTCAGATGATTCGACACAGCACATCTATAACTGGGCAGTGAATGAACCTTTGTTGTCTCCTGGTTAATACCAAACATGAAGAATGAGGGGATGAAAAATAAGGTGATCATGGCAACGAGGATTAATCCACAGAAAACGCGAGTTGTTCGCTGGCTAAAATGGGTAGGAGTCTTTTGACATATTTTCCTATAACGTTCCACAGCTATGCCATTCAAAAGTACCAACGATAAAGTTCCTACAAGGTTCATGGTTGCGAAGTACAACTTACAGAAAACAGAAGACTGAACCGAGTAGATGTTTCTGATAATATACAGTGAGGCTGGAATGCAGAACGTACACCCTACAAAATCCACTGCAGTCAAACACAGTACCAACTTTTTGTACATATTTGCTTTGTATCTGAGCAAATAAACCAAAAACACGTGAACATTTCCAATCGTACCAAAGATACATGAGAGTATCAGAAAAGCGGTGATAGGAATCCCGGATCTCACGAATTCATCATAATCCTCCTGTTCTAAAGTATACGACGTATTCATCGACGTATTCATCTTACTTTGACAACTGAACAGTTATGTATCTACAGTAGAAATGAAACAGTTTGTGAGTATTCCTTGCTTCACAATTGAATCATATCAAACAAGTGGATGACAAATGACGCAAAATCTGAAAATGAAAATGTTCTAGTTGTCATCTGCTATACCAATAACAGTAGTAATACGTCTTGATAGGTATCCACTCCTACACATTGTTTCTACGAAATTCACCGCTTAATCAGGAAGGCATTTGTGTGTATCATTACAAAACAAGGAAATGATAGCCCGGACCGGTTTTTATGTAGCCAGATTGCAAAATCGGGGCCATATTGTATTTGTAATATCTGTTTGCTTGTTATCACCATTAACCCTGCCCATAACTATTACACCGTAGAGATTACATATTTGGCATGTATCTTCCTTGTAACAAGACATTTCCCGTGGTACCTAAGGCCTTGACTTTGATCTTTGACCGACCTTTCAAAGATAAAAAACATAATATCCACAATGAAGACATAAGTGTTTCACAAAATGTGCAGACAATTAGCACATGCCTTATACAGTTCAATACATGGTTCAATGGTTTGTCAGTAAGATATACTGTCCCTACGGACGTGGGATTGAATGGTTACATTGAATCACGTGATGTTGACTGTCGTATATCAGTAACAATCGAGTCATAAAGATCTTGAGAGAAAAGTACATTAGTTTAACCTTTGACTTTAGGTTATTCCACTATTGCACCATGTGTGGGTCAAACTAAAC